ACAGAGCACTAAAGCGATGCTGCTCCAACCCACCAAGGAAACTGCCAGAGGTGAGGCTGGCGTCATTCCAGCACCAGCGTACTGCAAGAGCCAGAGTCCTATTGTCCTGGTGTCCAGAGTCCTAGTGTCCTAGGGTCCTGGTGTCAAGAGTCAAGAGTCCTAGTGTCCAAGGGTCCTGGTGTCAAGAGTCAAGAGTCCTAGTGTCCAAGGGTCCTGGTGTCCTAGAGTCAAGAGTCCTAGTGTCCTATGGTCAAGAGCCCTAGTGTCCTAGGGTCCTGGTGTCAGGGTCCTGGTGTCCTAGAGTCCAGAGTATTTGCCATATGTACAAGTGCAGTGAAAGTGCTTATTCTCATGCATTTTCCAATACAAAGACATCAAGGAGTCACCAACCGAAACACACAGCAACGGCAGCCACAACAACACCATTAAATAACTCTCAGCTACAACAACTCAGAGACCAGACCGGACACAAACAGCCCACAGCACAAAACAGACAAAGACACAGAGGCCAGGAGCCAAGACCACAGGTCACCACCCTCCGGCGGAACGGAGGGGCAGTCAGGACCCCTGCTTACCTCCTGGATGTGGGAGACCTCGTCTGAGAGCATCTTCAGGCTCTCGTCGTGCAGCGTCTGGTCCTGTCTCCGGGCCTCCAGGTACACCTGCAAGAGCACGGAGCAGTCTGAGCCTGCGACACTCCACCCCGAGTCTCTCCGCAGGGGTACGCCCCCTGGTGTGTGTGTGTGTGTGTGTGCGTGCGTGCGTGCGTGCGTGCGTGCGCGTGCGCGCGCGAGCCTTCCAGCGCAGCCAGCAACACGGCCCTGACTGGGCCAAGCTGCTCGGCCATCTCCACTCTCTGTCCAGTTCCCCACCTCTCCTTCCAAATCAGGGTGTGGGGGCAGCCGGAGTCTATCCCGGCGAGCCCCAGGCGCAGGGCAGGGTACACCCCAGACCAGAACACCAGTCCATCGCAGGGCGGGGTACACCCCGGACCGGAACACCAGTCCATCTGTTAATTCACCCACTAGCCCGTCTTTAGATTGTGGGTGGAAACAGCAGAGAAGCACCCGCACAACAAACCCAGGGAGAACATCCAAACTCCATACGGATAGCACCCCCCTCCCCCAGGGGGCCGGAATGGAGGCCAGGACCCCTGCGCTGTCCCGCAATATCAAGCTCATTTTCCCAGGGGGGGG